GAAATTTATTGAGATTCATTTTATGACCCAGCATATACTGTACTGTGGTGAATGTTTCACAGGTACTTGAAAAGAAGGTATATTCTGCAGTTGTTGCATGTAGTGTTTTATAAGTGTCAATTAGGTCAAGTTGGTTGATAATAGTGTTTGCATTGTTTCTATCCTTACTGGCTTTTGTCGGCTTGTTTTATCAATTACTGAGAGACTACCGATGTTTATTCTTCTTTTAGTTCTGTCAATATTTGCTTCATGAATTCTGATGCTTTGTTATCAGGTGCATACATATTTAGGATTGTTTTGACTTTCTGAGGAATTGCTCATTTTATCATATGTAATGTCCCTTTTTATCTCTTGTAATACTATTGTAAACCCCAAAGACAGTATTTTTTTTTTTTTTTTTTAAAGATTTTATTTATTCACTTTTTTCCCCCCAAAGCCCCAGCAGATAGTTGTATGTCATAGGTTCACATCCTTCTAGTTGCTGTACGTGGGACTCAGCCTCGCGCTGGACGGAGAAGCGGTGCCTTGGGGCGCGCCCGGGATCCGAACCCGGGCCGCCAGCATCAGAACGCGCGCACTTAACCGCTAAGCCACGGAGCTGGCCCCCCAAAGACAGTATTTTAATTGTTTTCGACAGCGAATATTTATTTACATTTATCCATATACTTATCTTCTCTGCTGCTGCTTATTGCTTTCTACGTCTTTAAGCTTCATCTGAGATCCTGTTCCTTCTACCTTTAATGCAGGTATGCTGGTGTCAAATTTTCTTGTTTTTTGTTTGTCTGGAAATGTCTTTATTTCATCTTCCTTCTTAAAGGATATTTTTCCTGGATGTAGATTTCTAGGTTGGCAGTTATAAACTTCTTTCAGCACTTTGAAGCTTTCATTTCCTTGTCTTCTGATATGTGTTGTTTCTGTTGAGAACTCAGCTGACAGTTTTATTATTGCTCTTTTGCAAGCAACATATCTTTTCCCTGGCTACTTTTAAGATTTTTCTTTTTGTATTTGGTTTTCAGCAGCTTTACTATAATGTGCCTCGGTGTGGTTTTCTTTGAATTTATGCTGCTTGGGGTTCACAGTATTTCTTGAATTATCGACTTCTTGTTTTTCATAAGTTTTGGAAAATTTGCAGCCATTATCCCTTTAAAGATTGCTTTTGCAATCTTTTTGCACTCCTTTCCTTTCAGGACTCTGATTACACCTATGTAAGACCTTTTGTAAACTGTATTCCGTATTTTACCTACTGTCTTCTTTATTTACATTTACCATCTTTTTGTGTCTCTGGGCTTCAGTCTACATATATTTGTTTGGACCCATCCTCCAGTTCATTAATTATATCTTTAGCTATGTCTAATAAATTATTAATTTGTTGTATTATTTTTTAGTTCTAGAATTTTTATTTGTTTCTTCTTTTATATTTCAAGTTCTCTTGAATTGCTCAATCTTTTCTTTAATCTCCTTGAACAGTGTATGTTTTGTTATTTTAATATCAGTGTCTGATAACTTCAATATTTGAAGCCCCTGTGGATATATTTTTTTAACTTTGTGGGGAGTGTAAGAGATTGTTACACATGTACATGTGTTAAATGCAGGGGTGAGTTTAGGACTTCCCAGCTGCTGGGGCACTCCTCTGTTTTATCTTCCCTCCGCTCACGGTTCCCACAGCTTACCAGGTCACCACAGCTTGCTAAATCGCAACAAAGTTTCTCCTTCCTGCCACCCTACAAATGCCCATAGGACAGGCTGCTTGGGGCTGGTGCCAGGCTTGCTTTGGTATCATTTCATACCCGTTGGAGAGTTTTTTTGTTTAACTCCTTTGTGAATCTTCCCATCCCGGTAGAAATTAAATTCCTCAAAGAGAGGCACGGTTTCTTGGTTATTTTATATTTTACAACTCCCTACCCCATCACCCGAGTACAGAGAAGACCGCAAACCTGCTAAGCTGAAATGGAAGAAACGATCCTAACACAGTTGAAAGACCTTGAGGCCATTCATGGTGGTGATAACTATATCCCAGGGCCCTGTGGGAAGCTGTAAGTTAACACAGTCTTGGCCTTCCAGGCTCATAATCCAACTGGACAAGCACAGACCCTAAACCAACCTAATACCAGCTGGCCAGAGCAGAATTTCCCCCAGTACCTTGCGGCCTTTGAGAAAAAGCAATCCTCAAGTATATTCGGGAAATGCCAAATTGAATAGAGTTCATTTAGATTCCTTTTCAACAGGAATTCTCAGAGCCATTAATTCACTACTGTGCAGTCTAAATCTCCAAGAGAGAGCTATGATAAACAGTATTCTCAAAGTTAGTTCACCATGGAACCCTTTCCAGAGCATTCTGTAGGACTGGTGTTCTTCAGAAGACACCTTGAGGGGCCGGCCCGGTGGCGCAAGCGGTTAAGTGCGCGCGCTCCGCTGTGGCAGCCCAGGGTTCGCCGGTTCGGATCCGGGCGCGCACCGATGCACCGCTTGGCAAGCCATGCTGTGGCGGCGTCCCATATAAAGTAGAGGAAGATGGGCACGGATATTAGCCCAGGGCCAGTCTTCCTCAGCAAAAAAAGAGGAGGATTGGCAGATGTTAGCACAAGGCTGATCTTCTCACCAAAAAAAAAAAAAAAAGAAGACACCTTGAGAAAAGCCCTTCTTGAGGCATAATCCAGAGAAATCTGTATTTGGAAGCCCCTGTGGATATTTCTATTGTTGATTGTTTCTGTTGTTTTCTATTCATGTTGTCTAGTCTCCTAGTGTTCTGGAAAATTTTTGATTGTGTGCCTAACATTGTATTTGCAAAAGTGATTGTGGAAATTTGGAGCTCAGGACTTCCTCCAGAGAGAATTTATGTTGCTTTTGCCAGGAACACGAGCACTCTAAGATCACCTTGCCTAGTTGCAGAGACTGAGATGATGAGAAGCTGAACTGTCCACTCAGTTTCTCCCTTCATCTTAGCGGGGAGCTTTTCAGGTCCCAGCCCAAATGAGTGGAGTCATCAGGGCCTCCCCAGCTGGTAGGCTCTGGATCTAATCTCTACCGCCTGAGGCTTTCAGAAGTTCAGCTCAGTGTCTCAGTTGCCCTCTGAAATTTCCTAATGCCCCAGGAGAAAAATGGCCCCAGATGCCAGGCTCAATTCCATGGATCTTTCTTCCCAGCCTCCCTACCACTGTATCCAGCTCGGTATTCTTCACTATATCAGTGCTTGCCAAAACCTGCATACTGATTTTTAAAAAAATATTTTCTCCTCAGCTTTACTAGTTGTCTTTCTAATTTGTTAGGGTGTAGTTGTTCCTAATGCTGTTAAATTTTATTTTGTGTTACATTTAATTTTGAAAATTTTCAATTAAGTACAAAATTAGAGAGAATAATGTAGTAACCTTGTATATCTATCACCTGCTTCCATAGTTATCAACACTCTGACACTATTATTCTGTATTCCCCCCACCACTTTTTTTTCTGGATTACCTTAAAACAAATCCCAGGCATCATAAACATTTCTCCTTAAAAGTTAGTTTTTATCAGTACAAATGAGTCCTTTAAATATAACCACTATATCAATAACACATTTGGCACAGTTAACAGTAATTCATTAATAACTTTCAATACTTGTCTGTCTTCAGTTGCCTCCACTTGTTTCAAAAATGTCTTTTCATGGGTGGTTTGTTCAAATCATAATCCAAACGAGGTTATTATTTTTTAAATGTTTGTTGTACCTATAGTTATTTCCCCTTTCCTAGTCTGTATTTTTTCCTTTTTATATCTTTTCTCCTTTTCTGGCTTAGTCTTGCCAGAGTTCTACCAGTTTTGGTTTTGTTCCTCTTCTCTCTTATTTTCTGGGGCTGTTGTCTTTTATTTTTGCATTTACTTTTATTTTTTAATTTTTATTTATTTTGCCATTCATTTTATTTATTTTTGTTTTTGTTGTTGTTGAGGAAGATTAGCCCTGAGCTAACATCTGTGCCAATCTTCCTCTATTTTGTATGTGGGTCTCCATCACAGCATGGCTGATGAATGGTGTGGGTCCATGCCCAGGATCCGAACCCGTGAACCCAGGCCCCTGAAGCAGAGTGCTCCAAACTTACCCACTATGCCACAGGGCCAGCCCCAAGTATTTACTTTTATTAACTCTTTCCTTATTTTTTGGGTTTGCTCTATTTTTTCCATCTTCTTGAGTTCAATACCATCTCACTATTAAAGATGAGAAATTCTCCTCTATGAACTACATTAACTGTTTCATGAATTTTGACCTGTAGTATTTTCATTATCATTCAGTTTTACATATTTCTTTTTTTTTTTTGAGGAAGATTGACCCTGCACTAACATCTGTTGCCAATCTTCCTCTTTTTTCTTTTTTCTCCCTAAAGCCCCAGTACATAGTTGTGTATCATAGTTGTAGATTTGTAGGTCTTCTGTATGGGATGCCACCTCAGCATGGCTTGATGAGCGGTGAGTATGTCTGTGCCCAGGATCTGAACTGGTGAACCCTGGGCCGCTGAAGTGGAATGCACGAACTTAACTGCTACACCACCGGGTTGGCCCCTACATATTTCTTAGTTTACTTTATGATTTCTTATTTAACCCATAGGTTTTTTTTTTGTGCCTTGTTAATTAGTCTCCCAAGGTATGACTTTTTTTAGCATTTCTTTTCTTTTTTTTTTTTTAACTTTATGGCATTGTACTCTTCTGTTACTGATTTCTACCGTCATCCCATTGTGGTCAGAGAAGATCTTTGTATGGTAGCTATCTCTTCAAATCTATTGAGACTTGTTTTATGGCCTCACATGTTGTCTCTCCTGGAGAATGTCCTGTGTGTACTTGAAAAAATGTGTGGCATTATAGCCTGAGATCCTGGTGTGTGTGAAATCCATCCTGAGGAGGCCATCAGGGCTACCTCTATGGCCCAGTACAGGGTTGGCTTTTGTGCATGTTCTGTGTGTACACTAAGGTAGTGTTTGTTCCTGGGGTGCTGGGTGGGGTTCGGGTGTGTTAATCCTGAGGTTTCTTCTTTGCAGTGGGCCTACCGACATGGAGCCACTGGAGCAGCTGGGCTCAGCGCTGAGGTTTCGCTCCAGCTTGGATGGCGATCCCATGTCAGGGTAAATAAAACCTGCAGGCTGGGTGCATCTTCCTGGCAGAGGTGACAAGAGGGCTCTGGTGGGCTAGGGCAAGGGCTGTGGGGACTGGGATGGCACAGCGTCATTGGAGTGGGACCCCAGGGAAGCTGTCACCATGTCTGACCACAAAGACCCTTGATCCTTGTGTTGGGAAAATGTGTGCTCATCATTGTGCTAGGGATAGGGGTGACTGTGGTTGGAGGTTGACATTTGAAAGGCCAAGAATGAGGATCCATATTGGCCTAGGTGATGGGGTAGGCACAGGTGACTGATGGGTGTAGGTGATGGGGAGGGAGTGACAGTGATGGGGGTGATGGTGGCAAAAGGCAATAGTGATGACGCAGTGGTGGCGGGAATGAGGTGATGGGGGCTACAGTGCTGAGTGTATAGTGATGGGGCAATGGTGATGGGGGCAGCGGTGGTGGGGATAGGATGATGGTAGATGGTGGCAGTAGTGCATGGTGATGGTAGAGAGGCTGATGGTAATGGGGTGACAGGCAGGAGTATGATGATAGGAAGTGATGGTGGTGATTGTGGTGGTGATAAGGGGTGACAGTGGCAGGGAGATGTGATAGGGATGCTGATGGTGGGTATATGGTGATGGGGTAATGGTGGCAGTGGTGACAGTGATGGGGGCGATTGTGGTGCAGGGTGCATGTTGATGGGGTGATAATGGTGGGGCAAAGATGCTGGGACAACTGATGATACATGGTTCCCGTGTCAAGGTTTGTGGGTCGTGGTTACCGTGTCAGGGCCCTCCTTTCAGGGGGCCAAGGCACAGCCCAATCTCCCAAACTCCAGCTTCCTTGGCCAGGTTCCTGCCCTTTCTTGTGGCCACCGTTAACAGGCGTCATGGCAAACATTTCATGTGGATGGAATGGGCATACAGCCGCTCGTGTGTGTTTTCCTGATGGAGTCTGTTCCATGTGCTGTCTGCCCCCTGCCCTGGTGGATCTAGAAGCCCATCTCAGGAGAAGTTCCACCCTGGCCTGGTTGCCCCTTTGGAGGATGAGACTTTGGGCTCCGGGCCTGCGTGGGGGGCCTGGGTTCTTGTCCTGCCCCATCCTGTCCTGTGAACCAGGGTGGGTATGGGGCCTCACTGGCTGCAGTGGAATCAGAGCAGGGCTCCTGTTAGTGGGGGAGGGGAAGAAGTGCAGCCTGTGCCCCCTCCTCGGCACCTGGGGCTGGGCCTCCTCACTCTCTTCTGCTGGCTGATCTAGCCCCCTGGGTTGGTCTGAGACTGAGACCTTGAGTGCCCCTCCCTCCACGTCCAGGGAGCGCCCCTCCTTTGCTGAGGCCCAGAACTGTGGGCTTTCAGACAGCCCCATGGGAGGTTCCGACCTCCAGCCAGTGTGGGCCTGGAGGCAGCCGAGGAGTGGGCCTCATCCTGAGGGCAGTGGGCACCGTGGAGGGTTCTGGGAAGTGTTGGGGTCTGGTGTTTTAGGAAGGAGACCACTCTGGTTGCTCCATGGAGGATGAAAAGAGTGGGCTGGGAGGGTGTGGCAGACGGCCAGTGGGAGGCAGCCTTGGCTTCTTGGTCCCACGTATTGGAGGCCAGAGGGAGACGGGGCTTGATGGGGCAAGGTGAGGCTGGAGACTGGGCATTCAGCAACTGCCTACTAGGAAGGCGGCTGGAGTGGCAAAGGGTAGGTGGTACCCTGGTCTCTGCTCAGGTGACAGGGTCAGAGATCTAGCCCTGTGTGGGGATGCAGGATGAGGAGTGGTTTTGGGGTGAAGGGCTTGGATTTGGGTGGGATGAGTGTTTGAGGACCGAATCTGAGAGTCAGCAATGTTTGAGGAATGGCCACAGGAGGAGCTGAGAGGTTGGGTTCAGAGAGGTGGGAGGAGATAGGAAGGTGGCCTGGTCTGTATTGAGAAATGTGGCTTCCACACCATGGACGCCATGGCACCCTTGGCAGGAGCCATTCAATTGAGTGGATAGAAGAGTGAGTTGGAAGTGTGTACGGGGAGGTGAGCGTAGACAGCCCCTTGGAGAGATTTGGCTATGAACAGATGAGGAGTAAGACGGGAGTTGGAGGAGAATCAGGGTGAAGAATGGCTCCTTTTGCACTGGTGGAGACTTGAGCTGGGAGTGGAGAATGGGGACAATGCAGAACAAGGTTCCCTGAGGGGCGTAGGAGGAGGAGTGGCTTCTCCGGGCTGTGGCTGCAAGGAGGTGGCTGGGGCCAGCTCAGGAGGGCCTCTCCCTCCCTGAGGGGTGCGCAGAGAACTAGGTCTGGTCAGCCTGACCACACGCCGTGGTGTGCACACCACTGCACAGCGTGGGCATGCTCTGCTGCCTCCCTGCTCCAGCTCCGCCCCTCACGCCTTCCACCCAGGCCATCTTGCTCACCCATTGGGAAGTACAGATGACTGGAGTTATGCTCCCCTCCCACTTGCCCCCCCACCATCTCATTTCTCCTCTACTTTCTGAGCAGAGCCCCAGCCTCTCGCATAGCACCTGCCTTATATAGGTTGAGGGCTTGAGAAGCAGGTGCTGGGAGCGTAGAGGGACAGGGTCACCAGTGACACCTCTCCCTCAGGTGGGCGTGAATGCCCTCAGGTGAATGCTGCCTGTCCCCGCCCCAAGGAGAGGTCTCTGTGTGCTGCCACTGTTGTTGTTTGTCCACTGGAGTGTTGCCTTGGGGTCCAGCTCCTGCTGCCCAGGCTGGGGCTGGGAGCTCCGGGGAAACCCTGACAGGGGAAAGACCCCATGTGCCAGGGACCCGCACCAGCTCTGCCCCCAGCCCCCACCACTGACCTCCTGTTCCTCTTCATTCTTGGACCCTCGCCCTCAGCTCTCCCTCTGGGTAACTCTTTGGCTTCCCCAGGAACAAGGCACCGGGTCAGAGCACAGGGATCCAGATGAGTCCACATCTGCCTGGCACAACCTGGATGGGTGGTGTCCTCCTTCAATATGGGCACCATGTTCCCCATAGTGTGGCCATGTTACCAGTGGGCTCAGGATTGGTTCAGGTGTTCTGCACCCACCCCCTGCCCCCACCTGCACTTTGGCAGGTGAGTGCTGTACTGCCCTGTTGAACACTCTGTGGCTGTATCCATTCTTGGCTTGTTCTCTCCCCAGAGCTTCCTTGGTTCCCTGTCATGGTTCTTTTGGATCTTGATTTCATTGTCCCTTCCCAGCTCTTTGCCACTCACAGGATGGTTGGGCAGGGCTGGTGTTTTTTTTTTGGTGAGGAAGATTGGCCCTCAGCTAACATCTGTTGCCAGTCTTCCTCGTTTTGCTCAAGGAAGATTGTCCCTGAGCCAACATCTGTGGCAATCTTCCTCTATTTTGTATGTGGAACACTGCCACAGCATGGCTTGATGAGGGATGTGTAGGTCTGTGCCCGGGATCCGAACCCGTGAACCCCCGGCCGCCAAAGTGGAGCGCGCGAACTTAACTACTACGCCCCTGAGCTGGCCCCAGGGCTGGCGTGTTTTTAAGCACCTGAGTGGTAGAACTTCTGGCTATGGGCCCCAGGCAGGCCACTCCTAACCCTTTACCCCAGCTCTGCTGTGACAGTGCAGGGGAAAGGCAGGGAGGTCCATTAGGTGAGGTGTGGGCTCCAGCCCTCACAGTGTCCTTTCTGCAGCTCTCACGCTCTGTCACAGCTGGTCTGCTGCCTTGTCAGCATCATGGTGAGGGTGCTGGTGTCCAGCAGACGGCTGTTTCACAGTCTGAACAGTGGGAGTCTTTGGCCTCCTGAGGGCCGCCCAATTTAGCCCCACCACGAGCTCCCTGCCTAGGCTCTTGCTCTCCTGGCCTTCTGTCTCCTCCTGTCTGGGCTGACTCTGCTTTCTGAACTTGGCCCTTGGACTCCTTGATCTGCAGGTTATCCCCAGCCTTGGGAAGCCACAGTTCTTCCTCTCAGAAGTGTCGTTCTGTTAGTATTGTGGCCTGTTGTGGTCACAGGCCCCTGCCACATTGTGCAACCACCTCTCAAATACTGCGCTTCCTCAGAGCATCATGCCTGGCTTTCCTACTAGGTGTTGCCCATGGAGTCCCTGAGTGAATTTATTCATTCGTCAGATACTTATTGAGCACCTACTGTATGCCAGGTGCTGGAGATACAGTGATGACCCAAAGCAGGTGCAGTCTGTGCCTCCATGAATCCACAGGCCGGAGGCAAGATGCACGTCAATCAAATGCTCACACAAAGGAGTGTGTGTTTATAAACTGAGATAGAGGAACTTGATTATGTAAGCGCATTTGTCAAGGAGCCTGACCTCATCTGCATGGTCAGGGAAGTTTTCCCTGAGGAAGTGATATTTTGAGCTGAGGTCTGAAGGGTGAACAAGAATTAATTATGTGGGGGTGGAGGAAGAGAAGGGTGGATCAGGCAGGAGGAACTGCATGTGCAAAGGCCCTGAGGTAGGACAAAGCATGGTGCTTTCAAAAGCTGAAAGGAGGGTGATGTGGCTGGAGCACAGAGGAGGGAGGGTGGGAGTCCTAGACCACACAAGGACTTTTATTTTATTTAGACTTTTAAAGATTAAAATTTGCTTTATTACAATAAGTTTTACTATCTGGTGAGACAAATCCTAGATTTTTTTTCTTCTTTTATTGTCGACTATAATATATACACAGAAAAGTACAGATACAACACACATACACATGGAGTTTGGCAAGTAAATTATACAGCAAATTCCTGTGTGATCCCAGGAGCTACAGGAGCCATAGTAGGCTTTTGAGCAGAGAGTGACATGATTGGACCTGGCAGTGTGGCCAAGGGAACTTGAGGAGGCATCTGCATGTTCTTGGCGAGGCAGGTTAGTGGCTTGGAGCATGCGCTGGTGGGAGAAGAGGAGCTGAGGGGACCGGGTGGCAGGAGTTGTGTGTCATCCGGGGCCCCAGGGTCTGCTGGTGGGTCTAGATAGCTGAAGGTGCCCAGTGGGAGTGTGGTTTGGGCACACTGAGGCACAATGAGGTGGGGACATCTATTAGACCCATGGTAGCACTGTCCTGGACAGTGGGGTTGACGGGCCACCATAAGAGGCCAGGCCTGGGCAGGCGAGGCTGGGGAGGCAGCTCTGGGAAGACGGCCTGAGCGCCTGGGCCCTCCCTGCTCCTGGCGCCTCTAGGATGCCAGCGCCTAGGCAGCTGGGGCCCTGGGCTGTGCTGTGTCTTTAAGAGGGCCTGTGTCTGTCCTTCCTTCCACTGACGTCAGGGATAGGGGAGGGCCGAGGAAATTTGCTTTCCTTTTCCTAGAAAGGGGAGGAGATTAAAACTGAGTGGCCCATGGTGGAAAGAGGGGAACTCCAGGGCTGCAAGAGGCCCCTGAGTGAAGGCGGAGGCTAACATGGGGTGAGCTTGGGCGCCATACTGTGTGCGCGTGCGTGTGTGTGTGTGTGTGTGTGTGTGTGTGTGTGTGTGACAGAGACAGACAGAATGAGAGTGAGAGAGAAAAAGATTGATGATGATGGCCCTGCAGTCGCGTGTGACTGATTATGTATGACCGTCTGGGCTGTGAGGTGGAAGCCCCTCCACCCAGGGTGGGGCCTCCAGAGGCGGTGGATGCCCCACAGCTCACCAAGCTCCCTTCCTGTTTTAATGCGCTTGGTGCAGTTGCCAAGCATTTACCTTTTATTAAAAAAGAGCCTGGCCTCCGGGAAGGGGAGGCTAGCAAGGGGCTCTATCTGCCCTTGAAAGCCAGTTTTGGTGAACTTCCCACCAGGGCTGCTTTCTTAAAGGGCAGGCCCTCCACTCTGTCGAGGTCCTTGCCCTGGGGCCTGCGTCAGGCAGGAAGGCCTCCTCTTCTAGAAGGCAGGGCCACCTCCAGCCCCTCCATATCATCCTTCTGGCTCTGTTCACCCACCTGCCCTGCTGGTCAGAGTGTGGAGCCCAGGGAGGTATGTGAACAGCTGGTGCAGGGCTTGGCACCCGCAGGCTCCCATCACTCCGAGGCCAGCAACCGTGCCCCGGGCTGTGAACCGTCCAGCGCGGGGGCTGTGTTCACCGCGTGCCTCTCCTCGCTGTTCTGGCCACACTGGCCTCCGCTCTCCTGGAACTTCTCCCCGTCTTTGTCACCTGTGCTTCCTGAATTATTTTACCTTCAAAATCTGCTTCCTACAATGGACTGTGGCTCCCAAAGGCCAGGAGTTGGTCTGTCATGCCCACTGCTCTTTTTGGCTCGAACTACACGGTGCCTGGCTTGTGGCGTGTGCTCAGTGACCATCTGCTGATCGGTGAGGTGGACAAGACATGTGTATGGGGGGAGGCATTTGAAGAACTTCCTCCCAGGCTCCTGAGGGTGGGGCAAGGGGGGCAGACCCTGGGTGCCGTGCTTTACGTAGACTCAGAAACAGCCCATTTTACTCTTGAGGAAACTGAGACTGAAACAGGTTCAAGCTACTCACCTTGAAGTTGCTGTTTGTGTTGACCAAAGTCTCCTCTGGCAAGAGGAGTGCCCTCTGGGAACGGGTGGGTGTGGACTGCTGGTCCTGGGTAGGGGCAGAGGCCCCGGGTCACGACTGGCTCTTTGGCAGGTTCGGGGCGACTGTAGCCGTTGGCCTGACCATCTTTGTGCTCTCTGTTGTCACCATCATCATCTGCTTCACCTGCTCCTGCTGCTGCTTGTACAAGATGTGCCGTCGACCACGTCGTAAGCATGCCCACCCCCACCCTACCCCACTCTGACTCCTGTGTGCAGGTACAGACCGCAGGGTGGCAAAGGGAACTGACCAGGGCCCTGATTTGGCTGAGCTGGAGGGAGGGGTGACAAGCCTGAAGGTCCTGACTGGGATTCTCTTTGCAGCGGTCGTGACCACCACCACGGCCACCACCGTGGTGCACGCCCCTTACCCACAGCCCCCAAGTGTGCCGCCTAGCTACCCTGGACCAACCTACCAGGGCTACCACCCCATGCCCCCACAGCCAGGGATGCTGGCAGCACCCTACCCGACGCAGTACCCACCACCCTACCCAGCCCAGCCCATGGGCCCCCCGGCCTACCATGAGACATTGGCTGGTGAGTACCACTACCAACTCTGACCCCGCCTGACCCCCCGAAGCTCCGGCCTCTGCCCCCTCACACCGCAGCTCGCTGTGCCCACAGCCAACCAGCGTCCTCTTTCTTTTCAGGAGGTGCCGCCACACCCTACCCTGCCAGCCAGCCTCCTTACAACCCGGCCTACATGGACCCCCCGAAGGCAGCCCCCTGAGCACGCCCCTGCATCTCTGGTTGCCACTTGATATGTCGTGTGTGTGAATGGGTATGCAGGCACGGTCCTTCTCTCCCCGTGCGTAGTGTGTGTGTCCTGTTTGTACACAAGGATTCTTTTGATGCTGACGAGGTGGGGAACAATCCTTGCCAGAATTGCTGGGACCATATTTTGTTCTCTTCCTCACTTGAAATTATGCTTCCTTGAAATCTCAAGCAAAATTAAAAAAACGGGTGAGAGTTCTTTTCCAGACCACCCCAGGGAGACCAGTTGTGGCTCATCACACTAGAATAGCACAGCTTTCTGTGGGCAAGCTGCACACATGTTCTTGGCAGAACGGTTAGCCATTGCTCGAGGCCATAGCTTGTCCCCAGGGTGTGCGGTACCCTTGGAAGAATCAGAGCCATGATGCAGGCAAGTGGGTGTGGCTTGACACCTGCTTACGTAGGGTTTCAATCCTTTTGGCAGATGTCCTATAGATCCTCGGAGCCTGTACCATGCCCAGTGGAGGGTGGGCAGCCTTCTGATAAAACAACTCGAGCAGAGCCACACCCACCCCTAATAATGTCTGCCTGGACTGCCCTGCATCCTCCCTGGGACCACCTGGAAGGCCACATCCACCCACAGTTCTGGCTTCCCTTGCTGGCCCTGGCCCCCACCACAGGTGGGCAGGGTGGTCTCTGTCTACCTACACACTCAGGTGTCCTCCCTGCAGTGTTTTTGTTTACTTTTAGCCAAATATTTTGCCTGTTTTCTGTTTCAAAATGTGTGTGATAGTTGCCGTGAGGCTGACACCCCTGAGTCCTGGAGGGAAACTGGGCCACAGAGGAGAGGCACCATCTGACCTCTGATAGTTCCTGCTTCCCCTGACACCAGCCTCACAGAATATCCAGCTCCTGTACACTAGTCGACACTTTGTCCTGGCAGCGGGGACACCTGGGCCAACAGGCCGTCTGGACCAAAGGTGGAGGGGGGCCCTGGGTGGCTGCTCTGGCCCAGACATGAATACCTCGGTGTTCCCTGTTCCTCTGTTAATGTCTCACCAGATCTGTCTTAGCCTTGTACTTGTTCACGTATTTTTGAGAGTCTAGGGTCTGCACCCTTGTTTATAATAAATGCAAACATTTGGAGCTGCTGCCCCCTTTCTTCAGAGCCTTGGCTGCTGGGATTTGGCATTAGGCTAGGTACCAACGCTTGGATTTCCATGTTTTCCCTACTTTTATTGGGCTCAGACATCTGACCATCCTGCTAGGGTGGGTGAGGGACAAAGACTGTGCCACTCTCTAGGCCCCCTCCCTAGGTCCCTGAATGTGGGCAGAGGTGCAGGAGGCTCTCAGGCTGCCAAGGAGGGTTAGAGGCGAGTGACCACTCAGTGCTGTGGGGGCTTTATTAGTCAGACTCTCCTTCTTGGCCTACTGCCCAGGTGTGGCCAGAGACAGCCCATACAGTGTGGCTACTGCCAAGGTCAGGAAGGCCAGCAGGCCCAGTGGGGCCAGCAGTCCCTCCCTGGGTGGGGCTCCAGGGCTCTGCATTGGAGGAAGGGCCTTGGGCCTCCTGCCCACGTCAAGGTTGGGACTGGTGTCCTTGGCTCTGGCCAGGGGTACAGTGGCTATGGCAGCAGATGGCCTTGGGTTGGCTCCAGTAGAGGCTGTGACCCCGTACATTGGCTTGACGGTGCTGAAGGGCCTGGCGTGAGCATCCACCCACTGTAGAAGGGCCCGCGGCCTCCACTGACAGATGCTGAGCAGAGCTAGGACGTCACCCTCGGCCGTGTGCGAGTCTGGGGGGGCCTGCCCATACAGGCGTGTGTAGATGCTGCCCAGGCTGTAGCTTTTCCTTGGGCCATGCTCCGAGGGGCTGCCAGCTCGCTCCAGGGCCTTCAGGGCAGCAATGCTATCCACACAGAAGGCGCCGTCCAGAGCACTGGCAAGGCCCAGCACAGCGAACTCTGCCTGGAGCAGGGGGAAGTCGTAGCGGTCACCGTTGTGTGCCACGAGGCACCAGGGCTGTGGCTGGCGCTGCAGGAAGGCTCGGAGCAGGTTGCCCAGGTTGGCATCGAAGCGTTGACGCCCATGCGCTGCCAGCATAGCTGTGCTCAGGCCTGTGATCTCGCTGGCTGCGGGGCTACAGGCCTTCCCTGGAGCCACGCACAGGGAGAGCTTGTCCACCACTCGGGGTGGTGGGGGAACCGTGGGAGGAGGCCCCTGAGGGGTGGGAGGGCTCTCCAGGGCACATCTGTGGACGGCCAGCAGGCACAGCTCCGTGACCTTGGGCTGGGAGAATGGCAGGCCAGTGGCTTCCAGGTCCAAGAAGATGAGGGTCTGCACAGGACCCGGGAGCAGGGCCTGCGAGCCCATGGTGGGTACCTGCCGCTGAGCCTGGGAAAGAGCATGGGGTGGGGAGTGGGCATGTGAGTGCCCCAGTGATAAAATCCAAGGCAGGTGGGGGTGGCGTGGGCCTCCCCTGCACAGGCAGGCACTGTTGGTGAACTCCAGGACTCATTTTCAGGACAGGAAGCCAGAGAGGGTGGTGGCTTCCTTAGTGGCATCAGCACACTCAGCTGTCTGTCTGGGAAGGTTTGGCTCCTCCCCTAATGCCCACTTAGTCTGGCGGGGTTCAGGGTGGGGATAAGGGAACCTACCCTATCCCCTTGGGGGTCCTCACTTACCGAGTAGCAGGCAGGCAGCAATGACTCGGGGCGCACACTTTCTGGCTGATTCTTGCTGCTGGCAGCAGTGGCGGGAAGTGAAACTCAGCCTGAGCCCGCCCACGGCCTGGCGTGAGCAAAGCCCGCCCTGCTGTCACTCTGCCTGGTCTGCCCCTCTCTTGCCAACACCCCTCCTTCCCCAGCACCCCTCTGCTCACAGTGACTCCTCAAAGGCCTTCTCAGATCTATAGCTGTGGGCCTGCTGGCAGGCACAATGCACCAGAGCCCTCACGCCCTCACACCAGTGAGTGAGCCAGCCGGGAGGACAAGGGCAGTGGTGCCTAGGCTATTAGGGAAGGCTAGCTCCAGGATTCAAGCCTGCCAGGAGCCCCTGCCATGGCCATTTTGCGCCCACCCCTTGGCCCCACTTTCCCAGGCCTCCCTGGTTTAGGCCTGGGCTGAGGGCTGCCTCCTTCCTTGTCACACAATGGTTTCTTCCCATGGCCTCAGCCCAAAGCGATGACTCAGGGCAATTCCACAGGGAGGGCAGGGCTCCTTCCTCAAAGCAGATTTGTTACCATGGGGACCGAGTCTCAGCTCCAGCCAGGGACAGGAAGAAAGATCCCAGCCTTCCCTGGGTCCCGCTCCTGCTTCATCCCTCCCACTCAGTCAACACAGATCAGACTCAGGAAACAAGGCTGGCCTGTTCTCAAACAGCCGGTCACTGCTTTTAATCAGTTGACAAGGTGAGGAGAGTAGTGGTGCTGGTGCCACCATGTGGCTCGATGCTCACAGGCCTCAACCACAGTCCATCTCGGGATCATCCACATCGGGCTCAGCGGCACAGAGGTCATCCAGGGCGGCCTCTGAGCCAAAAAAAGAAGAGCGTCCTCTGGTGAAGGCCTGAAGGTGCTGGGGACTGGGGGAGGTCCCACCTCTCCTCCCCCCACGCCCAGAGGAACTAACCAGTCCCTTCCACGCCCAGGCCTTGCTCCCTCAGCTACTGCAAGCAAAATGATACAAAGGCAATTCAGACAGGGATGTTTCTGGAAAAACCCTGGCTCTGCCAGGCCAGCTCAACAGGTGTGAGCAAAAGGCAGCCTAATATGCACAGAGAAGAACCAGAGCAGGAAGACAAGAATGACCCCAGTGCTGGCCAAGGCTGTGGTGGATGGAGGACTGTGACGTAGGCCGGGAAGTCTGACTTGGCCACGAACTTGAGGGAAAACCCCACCTGGGGCTGAGGTAGGGAGGGGTCCTCCTGCCGGCTCACCTTCACAGTCTGTCACGTCAGGAAGCCCTCGAATCAGCGTGCTGACCCCTGGCATCACCTGGTCATACTGATGCAGGACCTCCACACAGTGCACACTGAAGAGCTTGTCCTTCTGGGACAGGCTGTGCAGCAGCAGCACCGTGTCCCGCAGACACCGCACTGTCCGCTTCTGCTGGTCAGTCCTTGGGGGTCCCCCTGCCCTCCGCACTGTCAGCCACTGTCTGTGCAGCATCACCGTGAGTGCTCTCACCACCTGGGGGAGGGCACAGACTGAGGTCAGGTCTCACAGTTCCTGCACCCTAACACCTTGCTCAGCTGGGCAGCATCTTTCCTAGCCACCCCAGGTGAGGAGGGTTCTGAGTGGTGGCACCAGGGTTAGAAGGAGCATGGGGTCCTTGCACAGGTCCTTGCACCTTACCCACCAACAGAGCTGCCACGCTCTCGGCCCTGCCTGCCCCTGGGCACTTACCTCCACGTTGCACTGGCAGTTGGAGCCAGTGACCGGGGAGGAGGGGCTCTGCACACCAAGCTTAGCCAGGAGCCACACAGCCTAGAACAAGAACAGCCTCTGTTCCATCCATGGCAGAATGAGACCCTGATCACAGCGAGGGCTGTTTCAGTCTTCTCCTACAAGAGCTCCAGGTGCCTTAGCAACTGCTTGTCTGCATAAATCGGGTCTTAGAGGTGGTGTTGTGGGGCCTTCCCAGGCTAGACTCAGGACCAACACGTGTGTCTCACCAATGACCCCACTGCCTCCAGGCCCACCTCCAGCCATCAGACCCCAAAGCCGGGTAAAATCAGTTATCAGGCTACTTTGCCAAGTCCCAGGGCACCCTGAGGTCCACCTGTATTGCATCTCTGTAGTGTGGAGCCCCCAAAATGAGTTTACTTTATTAACGGCTAAACTCTTGTTACGAAAATTAAATCTCCTTTTCTCCCCCAGAGGAAGGAGTAAAAGTGGCTCTTAGGGTGGGATGGGGTGGTGAGCAGTCCACAGAAAGGGCTCTGGCATTTTTACCTCTTGTTCCAGTTGAAGCCACTGTGTCTCCGAAGCCACTTTGTCAGGTCTTGACGTGATGTACATGTATAGCAGCAGTAGGAGGCAGCCTTCTGTAAAGGATGCCCCACCTCTCACTCAGGGTCCCGCTTCACACCTAGTGCCTCGGGTACAAGCTGCAGAAGCCCTCAGGAGGCCTCTGACCTGTCCCTGCCACCACCCTTCCCTCCAACCTGCTGGAGCAGTCGAGACACCTGCGCCCTGCCCTGTTTACCTGAGTGGGAGCAGAGCTGAGGCACGAGCTTCTCATGGTCCACCAGGAGGGAAAGGAGCTCCACAGTCAGCAGCACACCAGGCAGGGGTGTCTCTGGGCTGAGGCACTGTGGCAGCACCCGGAACACACACTGGAATCTAAAACACAGGGGCCCCGAGAGACGTGACACTTCCAACCCAATCCCATAATGCACCCTCGTTTTTCACTAGATGTCACAGGAAATTCGAGCAAGCCAGTACAAAGAGACTTGGTTCAGCCCCGGGGTTCAAATGTTGGCCGACCACCACCTACTTGCTCACACTTGTTTCGTGTGAATAAGTAGGTACCACCCTTCAACACGGGACTGCTGTGACTTGGAGACGACGGGCCCTTACCTGGCAGAGCGCCACCTAGTAAACGGGGGATGCCTACTTGGACCTGGGGTGCCTGGCCTCCACACTGCTCCTGGGCTCTTTCCTGCCTCTGCTCCCAAATAGGGAGGCAGGTCTTTTTTTTTTTTTTTTTTTTTATTTATTTATATATTTTTTTTGCGAGGAAGATCAGCCCTGTGCTAACATTTGCCAATCCTCTTTTTTTGCTGAGGAATACTGGCCCTGGGCTAACATCCGTGCCCATCTTCCTCTTTATATGGGACGCTGCCACAGCATGGCTTGCCAAGCGGTGCATCGGTGCAAGCCCAGGATCCGAACTGGTGAACCCCGGGCCGCCGCAGCGGAATGTGCACACTTAACTGCTTGCGCCACCAGGCCGGCCCGGGAGGCAGGTCTTAACTTGGGTGTGAGAGAAATGTCCTGTGCCCACCACCAAAGGACTGGCCCGGCTCTAGAAGTGACAAACGAGGACTTGGCTATGGTTGAATCTTATGAGACCACTCACTGAGCAAGGAAGACCATTTTCTCCACTTGTCAGAAAACACCAGCTCCTCTGCCACCAAGTATAAGGTGCTCACTTGGCATGAGGGACTCTGGGCACACTCTCCCCTAGGTCTCGGGGGAAAAGGGACAGCTATTACCAAGGAACCAAGTCCCAAGACAACCACTGTTGTTTGCTCAACCCACACAGCCTTGTGGGTGAAGAGGGGCAATTCTGTGTGTGTCCCCCTTCGTGCATCTGCAGTGTTTTAGCACAAAGCATCAAAGGGTAAGAATATTCCTCAGTAGTTCGCTATTAGGAAGCAAGGTCTCACTATTGGGGGTGAATTCATTTTAGAGCAAATCCTGTACAGCAGACAAGAAGTTGAATGTTTTCAGTCTCCAGGGAGTGTGGAAGTTTGTGGGAAACTGGAATTTAACCTGGTTGTTACCCAGTTTCATTATTAGACTAGAAGTGGCCCCTAACTCGTCCACTAAAGCCCCTGAAACTATCTGCAAGAAAAATCCATCTTTGTATACAACACAGTGGTTTCCAAATTACTTTTTGATAGCATCAGAGCCTTCTTTTTAAGTGAATTTTTTTTTTTGCAGAGCCCTCAAACACACAATCGATAACAGTCATGCTGCTCTGGTTGAAGTGAGACCTATTTGCTCAAAAGCCCCTGCCATCCCAGTACCTATGGAACAACGTTGGACCTATGGCTATAAAAGCAGCAGCAGGAAGACAAAGGTCTAAGGGGATGATTTGCCCTCAAGCCTGGGTATGCAGGGTGCCCTTCATAAGAGACTGCAGCCTGTGTGGCTACTTGTACTGCATCGCATACTGCTTTAGCGCCTTGGTGGCACCCGTCCCTAGCTTTTACTCCAAGGTGATCAGGAAGCTGTGTGGCAGTGGGGTTCAGCTTGCAAGCATGAAGGAATTCTGAAAAGAAGTACTGAGTGGGAGGTGGTGTCAGTGATCAAGAGCAATGGCTCAGGAGACTAACTGGCTTGAAATCCACCCAGCATGCTCCCTCTGGGAGTCAGACAAGTTTCTCGACCTCAACACAGGATTTATTCACTCCACAAGTACTGAGTGCTTACGGTGAGCTAAGCTCTGCACTAGATGTGAGGATGCAGGGCTCTGAGGGTGTCACATGAGCTAGTGAATGGAAGGCACCCTGTGTCTGGCCTGTAGTAAGCACCCATTAAATGGCTATTTTTTGATGTCCTTGTGGACAAGCTCAATAGGAATGGAAGGATGGTGTCCCTACAAAGAGAACTGGTAAAAACATGCTTCCTGGAATTCATTCATGAAACAAATATGAAACAAGCAACCAGCCACTATGAGCTGGCCCCACCAGGCACCTGGGCCACGGTTCTGCGCCTACTGTGTTGCCCACCCTACACTGCAGTACTGTGTCCAGCTCTGAGCACCACCTTTAGATGGACCAGACCAGCCAGAACATATTCAGATGGAACCCAGGATCCAGAAGTGTTTTTACAAAACAGGTATGTTGAGCTCAGACTAAAAGACTTCAGATACATGCAGCCAGTGGAGTCTTTCCATCATAGGAATTGGCCTCTCGGTGGAGTGCTGAGGGGCAGATGGGATTACTGGACGAGGGGATGTGCTGGATGCTGTTTACGGTTCCTCCCAGTCTTGAGGCTCTGGAATCCCAAGTCAGGAATTTATGACAATAGTGTTCATGAGCTAGGTTCACTATACTACCACTTCCAACAAACCTGAAAGGAGCAAGTAACCTGTGGCTCATGCCAGAGCACAATGGTCAGAATGATGG